CTGGCGCGCAACGCCCCAGCGTCCGCACCGTTCAAGTGGTGCTGAGATATGAAAGAGGGGAAGCCAAGGAACTCGTCACTGAAGAGAAGAAGCGAAAGGCAACGCCGGAATGCCCTTTATAAGACTCCTCTAGTCCAACGTCACGAAATCGAAATATTTGCCGAATTGACGTCATTGTTCAGCAGGCTGGCCACCTTATAATGAACCCTACGTCCTCACAAGTGACAATGGAACTTCCATTCCATGCTACTTGTCCGGTAAAATTGTTTCTTGCAAGAACTACACTTCGAAAAGGCGGTCTGGGGGCGGAGTTGCTGGCAAAAAGGAGGCGTCACTGGAGTAACTTTATGCTTTAACTCCCTCACATAGTAAGTTTCTGCCGTGAAAACCGTACAGGTGGTGCCTATTGCGAGCCACACTATCTTTCTCGGGCAATTTTCTGAATTCTCATATGGTTACCGGGGTACGGACCACACCTTCAAGGTTTCAAATCACTCGAAATGTGCACCTTATAAAGACACGTTCCATCAAAAGAAACCCCTGTGGCTAAGCACTAGAAAAGACACGTTTCCTAAAAAAATACTGAGTTTCGAGAAACCGGACAAGGGATCCTCTACGTATGAAATTCTTGTATTTTTGTATTTTTCTGTTACCTCATACTGCGCACGTCCATAGGTAGTGGTTGTTGCCTGATCACTTCAATGTCGTCATCATAGTCTGAAAAAGGGACTTACAGTCGTTCTCACTGAAGGTAATCGGGGCGTGTCAGCGGCGAGTGCGGGGTGGGTTTTGGCGCGGCGCCAGCCGGTGTTCTGTTGATGGTTGCGGCTTCGGGCGTTTAATGAGTGGTGGGGAAGGGTTTGGCGCCGCTGACACGCCCCGACTGTCTTCTGCGATAACGACTAAATACGCATATGAAGACTGAGGTGCGATGTAGAAGCATTACCTTCCCTATAGGCGCTCCTTAGAGTGCCCATACTTCTTCTTCTCCTTTCCAGATCGTTCAGCTCAACTGACCCGTCTCTGCTAGGTATTGGCGACCAAGGATCTGATAGGAAAGAACTTTCTTCTATATTTCCAGTATTAGAAATGAAATACTCACCTCCACAAATTTTTCCATCGCCACACACCAGATCGTCAAACGATCCTCCCCAGCTGCTCAATGGCGACACTTTGAAAATAGAAATCAGTAACGTTACGAAGTAGACGGAGAGGGGGGGGGAAGCACATAGTTCTGTTAGACACTATATGCCCCTCCCCTAGTTGGCAGCGTCGCAAAACTACTATTTCTGATAGGGTCGGAGGCCGCCCCCCTAAGAGAAAGATGAAGCGATGGAAGGTAAGGCAGTGAGAAAGGATGGTCACCGGAGGAGAAAATTTACGGGGAGAAGGGCCGCTGTGCGAAAATGTCCCTAAACGACCCTTCTCCCCAAATGTTATGCCGTGATTTCAAACCTTCTGATTCTTCAATTCACGACAAGTTATGTTTCCCATTAAGCACGGTATTAGGGTTGTATGCAAGAGATGAAAGAAACAGTGAACTCTCACTCACGTGCTTTGTCCTGCCTGGAAGGTCTACCTCCCATGTGGGTCAAGTAGAGCTATCAAAGTGTGACTGGACCAGCTGGGAGGCTCAATACCACATTTTTGAAGTGGCCTCTGCTCCTTATGAACGCCTCTATGGTAACATGCATTGCAAATTTCTTTCGTCACAAAGAACTTGTGACTCTGACACCCTTAGCAAACGACATTTTGCTTCAGCGCTCTCATCCCTTTACGTCACGAAATCAGGAGCATTGTGAACCCAAACTATTGAGTAGGCCCATAAGTAATGCCGTTTTCCTCTCGCTTGAAAGTTCGCGCTATATATGACAATTTTTGCCGTCCAATCTCATCCTATTTTGCAAAGAATTCTTGTTCTATAAGGTAGCCTCCTAGTTTTCTTAAAAATTCTCTTTCTTCTAATTTCAAAGTGCTCACATTGAAGTGCCAGGTCGACGAGATTGAGCATTTTCGACAGCGTCCCTTTTTTATAATTTATTAAAAGAAGATTACGTGCAAAAAGTTGGAGTCAAAAACTCACATTTGTCAAACTCAAGAAAAAACGCCATAACTTATGGGCCAACCCAATAAACCACCTTCCTTGAAACACAACATATGCGAAGATATTTATTATTTAACCTCACGAATAAGATTAACCTGTAGTAAACGACATCCAACGACGAAACAATCTCAACGTAGAATTATAATCAAGGATATAACAACAAATTAAAGCTCTTAGCTGCGTAATATTGCGCTACATCTGAATAATTAGTGGTTGTCTAGCAATCAATATAAATATTTAAAACCATTTTCTCGTGCAGTAGAGGTTACAGAATGAAAGGCTCTAACATGTAGCTATTAAAGCATGGAAATAAAGGTATCACAAACAATATACAGGCAGAATAGTTAGTAATAGCATAAATTGTAAAGTGTGCACGTATCACAAATTTCAATGAGCATCAATGGATGAGAAGAAGAAGAGAAGAAAAAGAGGAAAAAGAAGAAGGTGTTAACAGTCTGAAAGAACAGCTCGAAAATCAGGCAATTGCGCACGATTTCGATTTTCAAATAGAGCCAAGAAGTTTGTACAATTTGTCGCCAGTTCCTTTGCAATACGAACCACCTCACGACGATAGACGTGATAGGACTGAAAAACAAGAATCTGAATCCTTAACGACGAGAGGCACAGTCCGCGTTAACCATGTGGGCGGAGACAGACGGACAGAGGGGGATAGATTCCAATGGTGGAATAGAACCTCTTCTCTCCAGCGGTTGTGTTTTACACAACGAATGGTAAGCACTGCTTCCAAAGCACAACATATCCAGTCTGACCCACTCGGCCATTCCACCTTTTTTCAGATCCTTATTTTTGGAAAAAAATGGATAACTTACCGGGTTATTTATGTTATCGACAACCTGCTGAACAACTTTGCCCATCTGCCTCATATCGTTCCCTATCAATGACTCAGTCAGTTCTACCTGAAATATGGAGCCAAATATAGTTCGACTTTCAGAAGACAAACTGTACAGCAACCTCCGAGGAAGGTACCTGCCGTCTGGAAGATGAATGGGTCCGCAGCTATCAGTAGTGAAAGTATCCTTCTCTCGTCAAAAAAGACACTGCGCGACGCGGGCTTGGGGGTTCTTAATATGCGGGTGCTGCCTCTCCCCCCCCCTAAAACCCCTCAGTGTGTAGGCACATGTACATCAAAACAATGGCCCCGCAGCGAAGCACACAAGTCAGGAGGTGGGAGATCACAAGCAGAAAATGAGAGGTCGAGATAAGTAACGCGTCTGGCTATGGTTAGGCGTGTGATATGCCATGCGGCGAGAGTCAAGAGACGACATGCTGATATCACTACCCTACACGACCGCCTTATCGTGTCATGTTTGGGTGGAAGAAGTGGGCAAGGCGAGGGCAGCTGCGCAAACCATTCACTCATTTCATGGGCGGATCAGGATCCATGGAGGTGAAGTCTTCAAATGCGTTTTTGCGCCGAGAAAGCGAGCGGTAACTCGGAAAGAACAAGTACCCTCTTTTCGCTTTCTCTGACATGCGACTTAGAACTCTCCGTCGACCTCCGGCAAACATCTCTCACTGCACCTCGTAAGGTAGATATCCTGGAATGGTCACATTTAGGGTTACTCTAGGCCTCGAAAAATGGGCCAAATTTGAGGGTGCAGACCTGTACATGTCGCGTATTGTTGGACCACACAACATGCAAACGATAAAGAAAATCTGCGCATAGAGAGTAAAAGAAAGGCGTTATGTGAAAGGAGACAACATTGGATCGAGGATGAAGAGAGGCCAAACAAAACAATATTTCAAGCGTGGATTACGAGAGGACTGTTGGGGAACTGCTTCCACCAGAACCAATAGTGCAGGGTCGTGTTCATCATACCTGAGTAATCCGAAGGTTTAGACGCGTTGCGCGCGTGTAGTGGGGGACGAGAGGTTTGACGCGCGCTGGCCAAACCTGTTTCCGCAGGCAGAGGCTGTCGAAAGAGGCAGAGCAGCGACAACGATTGACGGAAAACGGGCTGGAGCCGCGCAAAACCCAGCCCCCACGACACGCCCAGCGTCTGCAGCGAAAACAGCCATAGTATGATAAAGCTTTCACAACGAAGGCTCTAATAGAACTCACTCTGATACTGGTAACGAATTCATCGTGCTTCATATTGGAATTGAAAGCGTTGGCCAGTCGATCCACCGAATCTGTTATAGACGAAACCGCTCGAGAGATCGAACTCAGGCTCGGTGAAGCTCTCTGAAATAGAATAGGTATGCATCACCCGTATTTACAAGGAAGAACATCAGGTAAAATTAGAAAAGAAACGGGAATTGAAAGCATAGTCGCTGATGAACGTGTGGGCGGAGACAGCTAATGCGCTGCTGTAGGTTGGGAGGCATGTGACGAGACCACGCCGCGCGGGCACTGTTCTTTCGCGCTCCACCTTGGCCAACAATAAGACTCTGGAAGGGAAGGATCACACTACAGAGGAATTATGTTGTGGCGACGCAACGTGACAACCTCCCCCTTTCCTCCCAACAATGGGAGCGCTTGAAACCTGCCTGGGACGCTATTCAAGGCATAAGCAAAGAGAGGTAGACTCATAATAAATAAATAAAACCTACAATTGTGGAAATACCGACCCCATCAATCGATTTTCCATCCAGAGATCCATTGGAACAAGCTCTGCTGGTACTCGCTTCAATGCCATTGTGAAGGCGATTCTGCTCTTCAGATGGATCATATGATGCCTGGAAAGCTCTCGGATCACGGCACATACTTGGGCGCTAGCCAAGAAGATGGCGTTTGAAGGACTTAATAAGAAGAACTGGGACTGTGCCACTGAGGATGAGTAGTTTTGTTCGCGCC